TCCCGAATCGGATGTGCGTTCGGTGGCAGCTATTTCATTACACAACAAACTAGCGTACGATCGTCTAATCTTAAATCATTTTTGGGCTCGTGCTATTATCTATTTTGTATATGTAATGCTCATGACATTGGAAGTGTGATAGTCCTAGCTAGACCCGAGGCTAATCCAGCCTCCTTTTCTTGCTCAGTGCCCCTTCCTTCATCCTCTCTCCCTCCCTTTCCTTAAATCTATCCCAAAACCACAAATAGTTCCTACATAGTTTATTACAATCGTTCCTTCCATTCAGGACGTTGGGTGTTTTGTTAATTTCTATAGATTCCCTAATCTTACACATTGACGTGAAGTCCCCATAACCCGCAAAACGTTGTTTTTGACTAGTATATTTAGTGTCTAATATTGACCATGTGTTTAGCGAGCTACAATTTTTGGACCCCCTTTATAAGCGGTTTTGTGTTTGCGTATGGGTCGGCAGAATTCTCCCACATAGACCTTAGCAAATGAACACAAAAGCTTATAACAGCCTGATCTATAAAGAGGGTCTGAATATTCTCTAAACGAAGGAACAACTGAAGAAAGTGTTAATTTCTCTTTATTCATTGCCTTTATGTTCCATTTTCTCAGCAGATCACCCAACTCTTTCGCAAGTTAACAGGAAGACAAAATCAGTAATCGATTATGGTTTTCCAGTTGTCTATCACGCACGTAATAGCAAACTCCTTTAATCATGTTGACTACAATTGAAACGTAATTGTCTATTAATCCTAATAGGTAATTGTTTTGTAACAGTATATTCCTTAATCTACCAATCTCCTGGTCCCTATGTTTTACATCTGCTAGACGCAGAATCCTTATCAGTATAGACTATTTTTACTTGATATGTATGGTTGGAGTAGAAATTCATAAGGAAACCTGCGTGAATGGGTTTCCCCTATACGTCTTTACCTAACTTATTATCCTTTTTTAACTTCCTGCTAAACTTAATATTTGCATCTATTCTACTTATTAGCTGAAGGGATTCCCCCAAACCATCTTTTGCTGTGTTGCCAAACAGCAAATTAATGATCCATATAGCGAACTACTAGCCTGGGGAACTAGTAGCGTCTCTTAAAACACACGAAACTTTAATTGAACCATGTAGTTATTATCTATAATAGGGTCTAAACAGGATCCCATAGCTAAACTTCGTGTCTGCTCATACAACTTGCCATTGAAGGTAAAATATGTATTATACATTACAAAATTTACTTAAATTTGCTTAACTTTTTACCTGTTATGATGTTGATCTTGAATTAATTCTAAAGCCTTCATTACCCTTGCAAAAAGTTCATTCAATGTATCGATTCGTTATTTTTAAAGTTATGAATTCAAAATGGCATGGTCTTTGGTTTTATATATATTCTCCTTGTCGTGCATAAATTTTGTATGACCTCACTTTTGCAAAGTTGCACCGCATAAAAATTGATTAATGTGACTTTTCCTAAAGCGTCTTCCACCATTGTTATACTTTCTTACTTAGCTGTTCAATATTTTCTAAGTTAATGCCAAAAAGCTATGTTAGCATCACGAATGTCATCATTATTGAGACCTGTCATCCTCAATATCATAAAGCTTATATTTAAATGGCTTTACTCACCATTGCGTATAATTTAGGTTACATTCCATGATAACCACATCAAAGTGTACCTAGTCATCGTTTATAAGGTGAAAGCAAGGTATCTTACTTTCTTTAATTATTTCGAATGAATGGCTAAATATAATTATCTCTGGACGACTAATTGGAAATGTGGTTGCATAGCTGATAAAATTTTGATGCTTTCCTAAGATTTCTGGATCCAATTGTTGGCATAAATGCAATTCACAATTGAGTCGGAGTAGTAGCAAGTAATACAATTTCTAGATTTTGCTGTAAATCGCTATAATTAGATATTTACAATATGGTTATTCTAAAAGAAATCTCACGCCAGATTAATCAAACATTTCAATCTTAGCACAAGTACGGAAAGATGATAGGAATAGTGAGGCCTGCGATCAAAAGGAGCCTAATACCAACAAATACAAAATTCTTTGAAGATTAATAGAACAAATTAACTAGGATGTTTCTAGGGCAGTAATAACCAGTAGAACTTAATCGAATAAAATTGCGATTTGTCCACGATTATGAAAGAAAAATCTAGGAGATATATACAACTCGGTTAATATGTTTACCTATATGTTAACTATTTTTCGTATTTAAGTAGATTTTTGAGACTACCAGTAAATTAGTAATATGAGATATGTTCAATCTATTTCGTTTAAGATGATGAAGGACTGGTAGTAGAATTTTCCCACAATGAAATGCGTAGAGCTGACGTTTCCATTGAATTTCACATAGCCTTGCTTTCCCAAAAGTTGTTCTCATCCAGAGTGGACTGGACTTTCGACCTCACATCGGTCTTATCAACACCCCTAGCAGTTTTCGAACCGTGGCAGTGCAGAATGTGAGCTTGACATGTTAATCCTTCGGCCACATTGAAATTTACATCTGCCCTGTGACCCAAGGCCATTCGTGGCAATTTTGCCGAGTGGTTAACGTGTCAAGCTCCCAGTCTGCCTTGTCATGTTTCGACTCCCACTGGGAGCGTTGAGAAGACTAATGTGAGATCGAAACTGCAGTCCGCCCTGGATGAGAACAACTTTTGGGAAAGCAAGGCTGTGTGAAATTCAAAGGAAACGTCAGCTCTTTCGATATCATTGTGGGAAAATTCTACTACCAGACCTTCATCACCTTAAACGAATAGGGTGAATACATCTCATATTACGTGTGAACTAGTCCAGAAAATGTGCACGTTTTAATGAAATGGAATATTCGTACACTTCTGAAAGAAAGGATACCTCTCAGTACAATATTACGAGCACAACGTTAAGCGGCATAAGCTCTGGTGAATTCTAGCACTGTTTGAAGGATAGTTTGAAGATAGAAATCATGATAACTACTATAACCGAAGAGGCAATACTGGAAGTACTGGGTATATTCTACAAGGTCTCCATGTCACAACTAAATTGTGCAGACGACATCAAACCAATTCCAGAGCTATCCACGGAGTGGCAATTGTATTTTGTCTTCACAAACAACTCACTTGAGCCATGCAACTTCACTGATTGCACTGGTAAACACATTCTTGCTTAATCGACCATCGCACCATAAATGTGAGTTGGCTGACCCGAGCTTGCCTTTAATTTCGCATGTGCCATGGGACTTCCAAGAACCTTTGGTGTGGAGTGGCGTGGTAATACCGCCATGACACTTACAAATTAGGGGGGCTGGTGAGGAGACTTAGGTGAGATCGAAACAACAGTCCACTCCAGATGAGAATACCTTCTGGAAATCAAGGCTGTGTGAACTTTAGTGGAAACTTTAGGTCTACTCATATCATTGAGGGAAAGTTTAATTACCAGTCCTTCATCACCTTAACGAAATAGGTTGGATACATCTCACATAGTTTAGCGTTCAGTAATAACTGAGAAGAACTCATCGGTGTACATCGGCGTCCTAAGGGCTTGGTGCATCCAAATGGGATTTTGTCTTTCATATAGCAGACATCATCTGACTCAGAACCGTCATACGATCTAAGATATGAAGACCAAGGTGATGTGGCCTTTACTATGGTTAACGGACTGATGCTATAAATCACTATGGATACTATAGTAGATGACTCCGGACACGTTGAATTCATCTAGCTTTTTCTAACAAAATGCACAAATGACCAAAACGAGTTCAAACGAATTATAATCATTATACAATTAGCAAAGATTAATTTCTCACTGTAATATCATCTGCCTCTTATAAAATATCATTATTAGTTCGATGAGGCAACCCATGATTTAAATGGACACTCTAAGTCTATAGCTGCATGTTTATGTCCATGAGTATGTGACTAAGCATATTCCCTTTTCTCTCTAACCTGCTGTTTGATCTGGGATTGTT